AGGTGTTGGCAGGGCCACGCTCTCTCTGAAGGCACCGGGGAATCCGAATGAGGGCCCAGCCTACCGCAGTACGACCTTACCTCAACTCAGTACATCTGCAAAGATGCTATTTCTTTCTTTCTTCTTTTTTTTTTAAGATTAATTTTATTTATTTGAGAGACAGTATGAGTGGGAGAGGCAGAGGGAGAGGGAGAGAATCACAAGCAGACTTGGTGCTGAGTGTGGAGCTCCACGCGGGGCTTGATCTCACGACCCTGTGATCACCACCTGAGCTGGACGCTTACCCAGCTGCGCCACCTAGGTGCCCCCAAAGATTCTATTTCTAAATAAGGTCACATTATGAGGTATCAGGGGTTAGATCTTAAATGTCTGAATTTTTTTGTAGGGGGGACACAATTCAACCTTTACTTACTAGGCAACACAGTCACTGTTCTCCATGTGGGGGGATTCTTTTTTTTTTTTTTTTTTTTAATTTGAGAGAGATAGAGAGAGAGAGAGAGCGCATGAGAGGAGAGAGGTCAGCAGGAGAAGCAGACTCCCTGCCGAGCAGGGAGTCTTATGTGGGACTCGATCCCAGGACTCCGGGATCATGACCTGAGCAGAAGGCAGTCGCTTAACCAACTGAGCCACCCAGGTGCCCTTTTTTTTTTTTTTTTAAAGATTTTATTTATTTATTTGAGAGAGAGAGAGAGAGAGATGGAGGGAACACAAACAGGGGGACAGGGAGAGGGAGAAGCAGGCTCACCATGGAATAGGGAGCCCCATGCAGGGCTCAATCCCAGGACCCTGGGATGATCTGAGCCAAAGGCAGAGGCCTAATGACTAAGCTACCCAGGTGCCCCCATTTTTTTATTTTAAAGATTTATTTAGGGGCACCTGGGTGGCTCAGTTGGTTAAGCGACTAAACTCAGTGGGTTAAAGCCTCTGCCTTCGGCTCAGGTCCTGATCCTGAGCTCCTGGGATCGAGCCCCAAATCAGCTATCTACTCAGCGGGGAGACTGCTTCCCTTCTTCTCTCTCTGGTTGCCTCTCTGATCACTCGTGATCTCTCTCTGTCAAATAAATAAATAAGATATTTTAAAAAATAAATACATAAATATTTATTTATTATTTATTTATTATAAATATTTATTTATTTGAGAGAGAGAGCGCATGCGCACACACTCACAAACCAGTGGAGAGGCAGAGGGAGAGAATGCCAAGCAGACTCCCTACTGAGCTCAGAGCCCGATGATGCAGAATTCAATCCCAGGACCCTGAGATCATGACCTGAGCTGAGGTCAAGAGTCAGATGCCCAACTGACTGAACCATCCAGGCGTGTCCTCCATTTTTCACTTTTTAAAAAAAATATTTTATTTATTTATTTGCAGAGAGGTCACAAGCAGGCAGAGAGGCAGGCAGAGAGAGAGGGGGAAGCATGCTCCCCGCTGAGCAGAGAGCCCGATGCGGGGTTCGATCCCAGGACCCTGAGATCATGACCTAGGCTGAAGGCAGAGGCTTAACCCACTGAGCCACCCAGGCGCCCCTCCATTTTTCACTTTTAATAAAATAGTTTTGTTCAAACAACAACGTGCCCAGCCCCACACATGACTGGTCTAAGCCAAACATGCCAACATTTCCTTTGCCAAGTGATCACTGTATTTTCATTTATTAATATATAGTATGTATTTGTTATATTATAAACCTAACTCAAATGTTGCTGAAACCTACGTTTTTTTTTTAAGATTTTATTTTTAGGGGCACCTGGGTGGCTCAGTGGGTTGGGCCTCTGCTTTTGGCTCAGGTCATGATCTCAGGGTCCTGGGATCGAGCCCCGGATCGGGCTCTCGGCTTGGCAGGGAGCCTGCTTCCCCTCTCTCTCTGCCTGCCTCTCTGCCTACCTGTGATCTCTGTCAAGTAAATAAATAAAATCTTTAAAAAAAATTTTATTTTTAAGTAATCACTACACCCAATGTGGGGCTCAAACTCACTGCCCCGAGATCAAGAGTCACGTGCTCCACTGACTGAGCCCGTCAGACGCCCCTGCTAAAGTCTATGCCTTTGGAACAGCATTTCTTTCTATCCAAATGTCCTCTGAGCGTTGGTGGTATAGTGGTGAGCATAGCTGCCTTCCAAATGTCCTCTGACCCTAACATCCAATGATGGTCATTGTTTCCTAGCAACCCAAAATGCTATACAATTTTTCAATACGACGAAATATAATCCTTCTTCCTACGGCTGTGGTAGAACGTTGGACCTGAAGAAAAATTCTCATAGTGTTAGATCTTATTCCTTCTGCTGTTGCTTTGCTATTAGAAGTCTTTAACATCTTCTCCCAAAAGTGCTGAGGCCTCTCAGGTCAGGTGTCCGTCCACCCAGGACCTCAGTGTCCAGAGACGGGGGGAGGACCATCAAGCTGTCCCCTAATCTTGACCGCCAGGAAGACCGTCACAGCTGAAATAGCGCTAAACTCGGGGATGAAGGCCAGAGGTTTCTGTCACTGATCGTGACACAATCGGGTAAGGCAGAGCCATAGCTACTGGCAACACCGGACCTGACAGAAGCAGCCCGGCCACAGCTACCTCCATCCCGACACACTGGAAGAGGTGCAGATGGGCAGCCAACATGTCCAGGCCCCATCGTGTCCACCGAGAAGCAGCCCTGCGACTTGCCCTCCAACAGCCTGGCCCCAGCACAGGAGGCATGCAGAGTCCAGTGAAGTCCTGGACCAGGGGAAAGGGAAAACCCTGCCCGTCACCATCTTTCCCAACCCAAAGGCAGGCGACAAAGAAAACAGGGCAGAACCAGCCAACACGCCCCACTCACAACCCCCTGCCGCCCCTCCATCCTTGACCCAGCCCCTGGGTCCATCCGCGCCCCAAAGATGCCACGATCTGGGACTCATAATTTCCCCTTAACAGTCCTCCACCTCAGATGTCCCTTCACACATCTGCTTCCTGCTCAGGGGCGAGGACCAGAATCCTAGGTTGGCCCAGAGAAAACTCGGCCCTGTCCCTGCCCATGGGCACCAGGCCCAGGACTCACTCCGGGACAAGACAGCTTCCTCTCCAGAGAGGGATAGGCATGGAAGTGGGAGCTGGACCGAAGATCCCAACACAGACCTATGAGAGACCTCAATGTGGGAGTCTTCAGAACCAGCTGAAAATACCTCAGAAATGGAGAGATGGCCACAAGATACAACCTTAGATTCTCATTTTTATTTTTTTTTAAGTAAGCTCTAGGCTCAACATGGGGCTTGAACTCACAACCCAGTGATCAAGAGTCACATGCTCTACTGACTGAGCCAGCCAGGCGCCCCAATTTTTTCTTTAAGTATTTATTGCAAAGAATGCTGGACACAGTGTGATGTGCAGCTGAGATCCACCATCACCCATTCCAAGGAGAATGGGAAAATGTCTTTGACGCAAGCACATGTGTCTTCAACACAAATGTTTTGACACGAGAACCGTCACGGATAAAAGCTGGCAGCCAAGCAGTGGGTGGCTGCCCATGCAGAGAGCACTCCAGGCAGAGGTGGAGAGGATCTGCCCCAACCGATACCATGCCCCCGAGTTCCCCCTGCCCAATTCCAGTCCTCGTAACGCTCTGGGTCCAGCAGCTCCTGACTGCCCTTGCTGGTTGTGCCTCGCTGGTCGTGCCTCGGCCAGCCAGTCCTGGAGAGGTGGGGACGTCTCAACGTACATGGCGCCAACTGAAGAGACCCACCATGGCCAACAAGCAAGCATGTCCAAGTGACCGAGTCATCGAAACTCGGGGAGACATGGAAACAAGGGCTGTGGTCTCCATGTCCCAAAGGCAGTGGCATGGTCCTCTGGTCCTGACTTCAGGGCTAGGGGCTCTGGCAGGCATAAGTCCAGAAGTTCCTGCCCCAGCCCTCCACCAGGTCTGTCCACGGCCACTGCAGTGCACAAGGCTGAGACGGCCAGCCGGGGCGGGGGCACATGTTCCCCTCAGGGGCAGGTGGTACCTACGGGCTGCAAAGCCCCAGGAGGCTGGGAAAGATGGGCTGTTCTGCCAGGGAAGTTTCCAGGTACAATGTGGGCTCAGAATCCCTGACCAGGACCCACTTGTGGACAGCAGGGCCTCGGACTACAGACCCAGACACCTCCTCACGCAGCTTCTCAACTTGCCAGCCAGGCCTCCTGCCCAGAGACAAGATGGAGCCCGGACCCCCTGGCCAGCCTGCCTCCCTGGGCCCAAAGGAACTCAGGGGTGTGTGACAGATGGCAGCCCCCCGGGGTGGTTCTCACGCCAGGCTCCCACACACGGGAAGCCGAAGCTGTGCCATCCTGGGAAAATCCTCCCCTGGGCAGGGTGCCCCGCCTTCCTGCCGGTCCCCTGCTCGGTCTCACGGGCAGAGGGCAACGAATGCCAGGACAGGCTTGTTTCTCTGAATGGTTCACAGCAAATGCATTTCTCGGCCACCAGGGTCCACTCCTGTGTGGACACAGCGGCGATGGGGCAGAGGTAGCGAGGGGAGCACAGTAGGGGACGGAGAGGCGGGATGGCAGCCTCTTCCTCGAGCACCTGGGTCGGCACAGGGAAGGGAGTTCACACGACCACCCCGACTTCATGTGCTTTCACCGGGACAGCCAGGGGGCAGGGGTGGCTTGGGCCCCCAGATCCCCCAAATGTTCCAGCATATGCACGGTCGAGAAGGGGTGACCACAAGGGCCGCACTCCCTGCGGGCTTCTGCTGAAGTGAGCACACGGCGCTCATGAGCGGCTCCGACACGAGGGCTGGGCCTCGGCGGCTCTCCGGTTCCCAGCGGGGCAGGACGGGAGGGGCATCCCCGGGCAGATCCAGTCTGGCCAAAACTTTACAGCAGCCCATCGGGCACGGTGTCTAACCCTGTCACCATCGATGAGGAAGCAGGGGGGCCAGTGCATGGCCTCTGGGATGTTCCAGCAGAGAAACTGTCACACGGGCCAGGGAGCCTGTCATGACAGCACCAGCAGAGCTCAGTATCTGCCTGGGGGTGGCGGTGGAGGAGACACGGTCACTGGTGCGCAGGGACCGTGACGAGGGCTTCCTCCGGGGGCCTCGAGATGTCTACATTCTGCAAAACACACACACAAAACACAGAACGTTCACTCTGTGGCCAGAACAGATGGACACCCACTGTCCTGCTGTCTACTTTACTCATCGCTGCAGTCTTCTAGGTTCACATACTCACCATCCCAGAGCCCTGGCTGTGGGACTCCAACCCCCAAATTTCCCTAAGAGCAAGGTGCCCAGGAGCCTCTCCACAGGTGAGTGGGCAGACGAGCACAAGAAGTCAAAGGAGGGGAGGAAGGTGCTTGGGTCCTGCTCGCTCCTTGCTCACGGGACCAGCAGTGCCCAGAACGAGGCCATCCCACCTCCTGCCTCAGATGTGAGGCAACTGGGAGGGAACAGTGGCTGGGGGCTCAAATCCTCACCGGTGGGGGCAGGGAAGGGAACCCCCTCCTGGAGGTGCCCACCTCCTGGTCTAAGTCTTGGTGGGCAGGTGTCTGATGAGGCCCCAGGAGCCTGTGTACCCCTCCTCGTCTGCGGCCTGCTCTGTCCTCTCAGAGCCGGGGCGCAGGGCGCCCTGGACCTCCCAAAGCTGTCAGCTACAGACGGGCCTCATCGAGCCACAAAGACCGGCCCCTTCCATGGCCTGCAGGGCTCAGGCCTGAGGGATACGGGGCCTGATACTTTCCTCAGCTCCATGAGACGGTCCTATGAGTCCCCCAATCCTGGTGGCCCATCTTCTTGATTGTGGGCCCTCACAACCAGCACCTGCTGAAGCAGGTCACCTGGGGCCACCGTGATGCACCCGGACCCACAGGGAAGAAGAAACGGCCCCCAGGGGCCCACCTCTGGGTTTGCTGAACCAGCCACTGCAAGGGGAGGGACAGGTACGACTCTGATGCGGGATGGGGCAGGCTTCCTGGGGGCCCCTTTCCCATCTCAGTTTGCTCCCAAGAATGGGCTATGGGCTAGGGCCTGGGGATCCTACCACCTAAAGGGAACCTGTGGTCAGCAGAAGTTGGCCTCTCAGAAGGCAGCATGCAGAGGGGGGCAAAGGGGCTGCCAGGGAACCTATGGGTCCCACCCTATAGATGCGAGGTTCAGCCCCCAGTGCCTGCTGGGTCCAGGGGCTTCTCTTACCATCACCCTGTCAGTCAGAGAGGGCCCACTGCCTTCTGGACTTCCCTCAACACAAAGGGCCCCTGTTAGGACATGCGTTCCCCAGTGACCTATGCGGGCCAGAGGGGGCCTGCAAGCAGAGTCTCAGGACAAACAGGGAAGAGGCCTGCACGGTGGATGGTCCCAGTGAGGGGGCAGCGCCTTAAGAACATCCACACATCTCTGCCGGTGGGGATCAAGGCCAAAGGGCTGCAGGTGAGCAGCCCAGGTTGTGCACCTTTGGCAGGGACCCAGAGCCCCCCCCCCCCATACCCCCTTATGGGGGGCAGCAGGCACAAATGAGACCCCAGGAGCCTTCTTGGTGCACCCGACTCCGGGAATGGGATCCAGAAGGGCCGGTCCAGCCCTTGGCCTCAGTGGAAGAGGTAAGCAATGTGGCAGAGAGACCTCCCATGGGCATGGAAAGGGGTTCTAGGCAATGGTCCCAGGAACTTCTATCTTAAACAAGGCACTGGGGGAACACAGGGTCATGAACTGCTCTGTAGCAGGACCGTCTCTGTCCAGCACCAACACACTCTTAAACCTTTCCCCAACAAAAAGCACACACCATTTTAGTTTTTAAAGGTGCTCGAAGTTAGAAAGGATGCCCATGAGGCCTGAACTTGGAGGGGATCATGGAAGAATCTCCACCTGTCCCCTTGTAGGCCTCCTGCTTCTTTCCCAGCTGAGGCTCCCTCTCCCGCTGGCTCAGACCTCTACGGTAGGGCTGCTGGGAAGCCACCATACCCAGGGTCAGGCACTTCCTACCCTGGTGGCCCAGCTCCAGGGACTTCCCCACTCCCAGGGCAGCACCCTTGGGAAGGCCTGGTCCAGAGCCATGACCTTGCCCTGACAACAAGACAGCAGGCTTGGCACAGAACTCAAGTTCTCTCTGGCAGGCACCCAGCTGGCCCTGGGCCTGGGAGATGCTGTATCTGGATACCCCTGGGAATAAGCTCACCACCCCAGCCGTAACCCCGTTGCTACCTGAGGCCTGTCCCGGTGCGTGTTCACAGCCATCACATTCAGGAATATGGACTCCACTTTACAACCTGCCAAAGGGAAGATGTAAATCCATTTCCCCTCCTGGAGCCATAGAGGGTAGAGGCTTCTCTCGGGTGGCAGCCCTGGGTGTCACAGAACAGGCAGCCATTCTCAGCCTCATCCAGTCCTCCCACCTTAGGCAGCTTTGGGGAGCACGTGAGAAAGGACGAGGCACACCTCAGCCCTGTGTTTATCATGTGCCACCGTGCAGCCTTGGTGAGAAGCCCAGACACCCAGGAGGGCTTCACCGAGGACACAAGCTGTCCACTGCCAGGGCAGAGCCGTCTAAGCAGCCCCAGGCCGGAGCTCCACATGTTATCGTTCTGTGAGCCTTCAGGGCCCCTGAACCACTCATACCCCAAGCCACAAACACAAGGCCAAATCCACATCACACCAGGGGCTCCGTGCAATGGGCACGAGAGGATGGACACACAGGGGCCTGACATCAGCTGTCGCTGGGCTTTCTGGTCATTCTCCCAAGGACACGACCCCCTGAGGGGTACCTCATAGCATGTGCTGAAGGTGACGAGCTGAGACCCAGGAGCTTAGGAGGAGGCCTGAAGTCCCTTGCAGGCACAATGAAAGGCAGAGGTGGTGCTCGAATGAGTCCGCCCTCAAGATACTCTGAATATTTTAAGGCCCAGGTCCTGGGGGCCGTCGGGGTTTCAGAAAAAAACAGAAAAGCCCGTCATGCGGGCGGATGATGGTTAAGGATCGCTGGAAAGGCTCAAACGGCCACAGAAATTAAAACCAAAAAAAAAAAAAAAAAGGAAACTGGGAAAGGCAGTGAGTGGACAGAGGAGGAATGAGCCCCTAAGCCCCTAAGGGGATTTTCAAGGGATCTACAGAAACATCATGGAGCCCCGTGGAAAGCCAGTGTCTGGCAAGCAGGCCAGTGTTCCAGAAGCTTCCTTACCGTAAGCCACAGGGGTCAGCTTCAGGACGGTGTGCAGTGGACACTTGAGGTAGGGCAGCTGCTCTGTGGACACAATTGGGCAGGGCTGGCACACCAGGGACGCCCACATAACGGTCCCTCTGTCTCCCTCACATACACACACCCCACCTCCCTGGGGGCTGGCCTGTACCTGCCGCCTTATCAAGGAAGTAGGCCAGGAGACAGCGCATCACAGCCTGGTGACAGATGACCAGCACATTCTCTTGCCTCTCCAGCTCCATGATGACAGGCTCGAGGCGCTGGACCAGGTCCTCGTAGGACTGCAAGGACAAGCAGGAAGGGTCCCTCAGGCCCTGCTCCAGCGGTAGTGATGGAAATGTTCTTGGTAGCAGGCTACCTCCTCCCTCCCAGGACCCTCACTGTTCGGGGAGGCTATGGCTAGATATCCTCCAGCCTGGCACCCCGGGGGCATGGGCAGTGGGGGTGGGCAGCTCCGGGATAGGGCCTGTCTCTATAGGACAGTGAGATGTCCAGCTTGAGAGGGAAGCTGGGAGGGGAGAAGAACTGGCAGTCTGGGAAAGAGAATGCATCCTCTAGCCCGGGGCCAGGTCCCAGGAGGACTGGAGGGCTGGGCTGGGCCTCAGGCTGCCAGCCAAAGGGGGCCATCTCCCTGCCTACCCACAGGGACCCCAGTGGAACCCCCAGCTGCTGGAAACCGAGGACTGGGAATAGAGATGCAGCGCCCTTCCAGCCCACGGCAGATGTAACGCACAGAAAGAACCATGGGGGTGGGAGGAGCAAAGACCCCCGAACTTTCTGGGACATGACCCATCGGCATGCCTGAGGGCCCAGGAACAGAGATCCTCATGGTCGAAGTGCCCTGGGCCTCCCCTGGGTGCTACAAGGTAGCCTATGAGGGAGCCCTTGGACCAACCCGTGGGCCCTAAGGTGTAGAGACTTCCCCTGGAGATCAAGCCCTCTTTGCACACAGTGAGCAGGCCTTCAAAACATTCAAAACACAGCCCCCCGCAGGCTGACGGGGAGCAATGCCCCATAGTTCCCGGGGAATCCTAGATCAGTTCTTTCGGTAACTGTAATTTCCCTGCCTATTTCCCCTGCTGTATTCTCAACTCTGAACAGGCAACTGCTTTGCTTCTTTCTATGGTTATCTGGGTTAGTTTTATTTTTTTTTAAAGATTTTATTTATTTATTTGACATACAGAGATCACAAGTAGGCAGAGACAGGCAGAGAGAGAGGGGGAAGCAGGCTCCCTGCTGAGCAGAGAGCCCGATGCGGGGCTTGATCCCAGGACCCTGAGATCAGGACCTGAACTGAAGGCAGAGGCTTTAACCCACTGAGCCACCCAGGAGCCCCACTGGGTTAGTTTTAAATCTGAGCTCTGCCTCACAGTACGATGTGGGGAATAATTAATGCTCCCCGGAGCCTTACTTTTCCTGAAGATAGTCTAGCAGGGGGCGGGGCAAGAGCCTGGCACCTGGGGTGGGGGGCAGCTTCTGCAGCTGTCCATGTATGTGCGTACATATGTGTGTGTCTATAGCGGTATCTTTATCTGGCCACTGTCCCAGGCCACCTCCCAGAACGGGGAGATACCCAAGTGAAAGGTGACTGACTTCTGACCTGGGCCTTGGGCTGAGGCAGGAGCCAGCCTGAGGGAAGGTGTCTGAGCACATGGCTTCTTGTGGCCACGACTCAACTGAGGAAGGTCTTCCTAGCCTGTATTCAGGGCCCTGTGTCTGGAGCCATGGGGAGGACATGCATGATCCCTGTGATACCCTGGGGAAGGGGAAAGGCAAAGATGGGGAACATTGGAGAGTAGGAATCTAACGAGTCTCAGAGTTGGGAGTCCCATGCAGCCATGTCCATCCACCGCCAAAGGTGGGTGGGGACCGCGGCCTGGGTACAATGGAAGGGAAGTGGCAGAGATGACACACACACCCAGCCTGGCCAAGCTCTGAGGTCAGGCCCCACCTGCTGCCCACGCAGCCTCCACAGAGTCCCCCAGGGGCCCTGGGGCAGACGGCAGGAGGCAGCTGGGGCTAAGCCCCCATATCCCACCTACCTCCCCCTTGGGGTACCGGTACCGGTACTTGTCCTGGTCCCGCAGGGCAAATTCCAGTGGATAATGATCTTGAATTTCTTCATAGGTCATCTCCTCACAGACACCCTAAGGAGATAGGAAAGTCATCACATCTCCCATGCCAGGCCCGGGGATCAGCCCTGTGTCGGGGACGCGGGGGAGGGCAGGCAGAGGGGACCAGGTTTACGGGGTATTTCCTGGGCCATGGGGGCTCTCCCAGCTTGGAGCTTAGAATCCCTCTGGAAAGAGCAGGCTTGTGGGGACACTGACCAAGGGGGCAGCCCCTCGTTTGTAAAGAGCTACCACAACAATCTTTTTCATCCATCCAGTTTATGCCATAAAAATAAACAGGAATGTTAACTATGTGTCTTTCCTTGTGTCTTTTGTTCTCTGTGCTGTTAAAATATGTATTCTGAATTATGGATGTCGTACAAGCCATAAAGCAAGATTTCACTTGTATCCTTCGACACACACACACTCACACATAGTGTAGATTACCTTCTATAAATGCTATTTTTTTTTTTAAATCCAGCAAAGAACACTGGTTGACAACACATAAGTGTGGTTTAAGGGCCCCGAGAGGGGAAGAAGCCATAAAATGTCCTAATAAAAAGTTGCTGGCCTCTGCCTTTGTTCTAAGTTGTTTTCTAGACCAAGCCTTGGGGCAAAGGTGTCTATTAAGAAGGAAAGGCCAAGAGAAAAACTTTTAGCTGTAAATGTCTATATGGGAGGAAAAAAAGAAGAAGAAGAAAGATCTCAAATCAATAATCTGATCTTCCACCTTAAGATACTGGAAAAAAGAAGAGCAGACTAAAGGCAGAGCAAGCAGAAGGAAGGAAGTAATAAAGACCAGAGCAGAAAGGAATGTAACAGAAAACAGAAGACAAGGAAAAACGATGGAAGCAGAAGTGGGTTCCTTGATAAGATGAACAGAATTCACAAACCACATATTGACAAGAGAAAAAGCTCCAGTCACTATAATTAGGCATCACAGAGGAACAGGACTACCAAGCTTCCAGAACGAGAAGAGACTCTAAGGGGCTATTGTGAACAACTCTGTGCCAACAAATGAGATAACTTATGTGAAATAAGAAAATTCCGAGAAAGACAAACCATCTTTGTTGAGTCAGATGTGCCCCTCCTGAAAGAGACCATCAAGTCCTAATGCATGGTACCTGTGAGCGCAACCTTATTTAGAAGTAGGGTTTTGGGGCATCTGGGTGGCTCAATCGGTTGAGTATCGGACTCTTGATTTTGGCTCAGGCCATGATCTCAGGGTTGTGAGACTGAGCCCTGCGTCGGGCTCTGTGCTCAGTGCAGAGTCTGCTTGAGATTCTGTGTCTTTCCTCTTTCCTCTTTCCTCTTTCCTTTCCTCTTCCCCTCCCCCAGCTCACACGTGCTCTCTCACCCTCTTTCTAAAATAAACAAAACACATTTAAAAAAAGATTTTATATATTTATTTGACAGAGAGCGAGAGAGCACAAGAGGAGGAGTAGCAGAGGGAGAGGGAGAAGCAGACTTGCCTCTGAGCAGGGATCCTGACCCAGGGCTTGATCCCAGGACCCCAGGATCGTGACCTGAGCTGAAGGCAGACATTTAACCAACTGAGCCACCTAGGCATCCCTAAAACAAATAAAATCTTAAAAAAAAAAAAAAAGAAAAAGAATGGGGCACCTGGGTGGCTCAGTGGGTGAAAGCCTCTGTCTTCGGCTCAGGTCATGATCTTAGGGTCCTGGGATCGAGCCCCACATCAGGCTCTCTGCTCAGTGGGGAGCCTGCTTCCTCCTCTCTCTCTGCCTGCCTCCCTGCCTACTTGTGATTTCTGTCTGTCAAATAAATAAATAAAATCTTAAAAAAAGAAAGAGTTTTTTCAGATGTAACCAAGTAAATGAGGTCACCAAGGGTGGGCCCCAGTCCACTTACTAGACGTCCTTTCAAGAGGACCAAGTGAAGACACAGAGAGACACACACAGGGAAGAAGGCCATGCGAGGACAGAGATTGCAGCTGTAAGTTAAGGAATGCCAAGGGCTGTTGGCAAGCACCAGATACTCGGTAAAAATATGGGCATTGAGGGGGCACCTGGGTGGCTCAGTGGGTTAAAGCCTCTGCCTTCAGCTCAGGTCATGATCCCAGGGTCCTGGGATCAAGCCCCACATCGGGCTCTCTGCTCAGCAGGGAGCCTGCTTCCCTTCCTCTCTCTCTGCCTGCGTCTCTACCCACTTGCGATTTCTGTCTGTCAAATAAATAAATAAAATCTTTAAAAAAAAAATATGGGCATTGAGAGTGATTCTAGTAAAGGCTCAGATGGAAGTGAAGCATGGTAGAGAGAGCTTCTATCATCTTAGAAATACATATATCCTCACGAGCATAATACTGCTAGAAATATGAACGTTGGGGCACCTGGGAGGCTCCATCGGTTAAGCAGCCAACTGGAGACTTCAGCTGAGGTCATGATCTCGGGGTCCTGGGATCGCGCCCCATACCAGGCTCCACACTCAGCAGGGAATCTGCCTGAGATTCTCTCTCTCCCTCTTCCTCTGCCCCACTGCCCTCACTCATGCTCTTTCTCTCTCTCTCTCTCTCTCTCTCAAATAAATAAATAAATCTTTTTAAAAAAGAAAAAAGAAAAAGAGGGGCGCCTGGGTGGCTCAGTGGGTTGAGCCGCTGCCTTCAGCTCAGGTCATGATCTCAGGGTTCTGGGATCGAGCCCCGCATTGGGCTCTCTGCTCAGCGGGAAGCCTGCTTCCTCCTCTCTCTCTGCCTGCTTGTGATCTCTGTCAAATAAATAAATAAAATCTTTAAAAAAAAAAAAAAAAAGAAAAAGAAAAAAGAAAAAGAAATATGAATGTGAAAAGTACTTCTGGTGAGGCCACAGAAGGAAATGGAAATGGTAATTTACTGGACACTAAAGAAAAGGCGATCTTTGTTAGAAAATGGCAGACAGCTTGCTGAAGGATGTTCTACTGTTGGTAGGTTATAAAAAAAAAAAAAGGCAGATGATAGCAAGAGTTGGTAAGGATGCGGAGAAATCACCCCCCTCAGGCACTGCTGGTGGGAACGTACAAGGCTGTGGCCTGGCAGTTTTCCACAAGGTTAAATACAGAGTTTACCATGTGGGCCCGCAATTTCACTCCTCCATATACGCCCAAGAGAAAGGACAACGTGTCCACACAAAAAGGCTGCACACGAATATTCATAGCAACATCATTCCTAGGAGCCCCAAAATGCATATCCCGCAAAAGCCCGTCAGCTGAGGACTGGATATGTCGTATGGGGTACATCCGTCCAACAGGATACGGGACAACATAACGGGATGAAGCTCACTTGCTACCACACACATGGACCTTGAAAACATGCTAAGTGAACGAAAAAAAACACTAAGTCACACAAAAAAAATTCCATAGTGTATGATTCCATTTATATGAAATATCCCCACTAGGCCAGTCCACGAAGACACAAAACAGATGAGTGGTAGCCTCAGGCTGGGGGGAGGAATTGAAAGGAAATGGAGGGATGGGGTCAGGGTTGCTTTTTGGAGCAATGCAATGCTTGAGATTAATTGCGGTTGTGGTTGCAGAGCTGTGTGACTATACTAAGAACCACTGAATTGTACGCGTTAGGTAGGTGGACCAGATGGTATGTGCATTATTTCTCAATAAAGCTGGTATTTAAAAAAAAAAGAAAGAAAGAAAGAGATAAGGCGTGAATTGTGGACTGAACTAAGGAAAAAAAAAAAAAAACACCCCAGTGTTGAAACAGAAGGCTAACCCAAGGCTGTTTACCAGAACCCAGGAAAAGAACAAAGATAAACACAGAAGAATGGTGACTAGATCACAGATATTAGGAAAACTGGAAAGATAAAGAAGAGAATCCTCCAGCATCTAGGAAAATAATCAGATTAACTACAAAGGGAAAAAAAGAAACAACTGGGGTGGCCTAAGGCTTCTGTGTGAAGCCCAGGGTTAGAGCCGCGACTGAGCCCCTGCAGGGCGCACCCCGGAGGAAACATGGCCTCCGGCCTCCATGACTCCCAGCAGTCCCAGCTGATGGGAGCCTACAGGACGGTCAAAGGAGCTACAAGAGGGTCACAAAAAGTGCTTACCCTTTTCAAGAGCTCACCAGTTCTCCCCCAAACTCCCTCCTTCCACTCAGTAGATAAATATTTAGTGAGTCCCCAACGTGTTGGACACAAGGAAGACACAGTTCCTGCCCTCACGTGACCCAGAACCCCTCCCAGGGGCCGGAAACCCGGAATGGTTCTGGATGCTTGTTTTCTTCGAAGTTATCACTTTTTTCCCCTTTCCCACATGTTGGTTCCTTGCACCTGGTCCGGTTCCAACCACAGGGCAGGCTGGCATAAATAAGTGAATAAATGAGTAAAGGGCCTGCAGATCCCTCCACTCCTCTTTCTTGCTTGGCTGCTAGCCACATTCCAGGTGTCACCTTACCATTCTAGTGTCACCTGGTAAGGTGCCACTGCGGGCACCTCTCACTGGTCTCCCTTCTCCAGCCTGTCCCCCTTCCTCACTCCCAACAACCCGTTCTCTACGCCAGCTGGGATGACCTTTCTACAATTCAAATCTGCTCTCATTACCAGCCTGCACTTCAGGCAATGGTGGCCTCGCCTGTTTCAGAGCAGCCCTCCAGGGAGAGCAACTGGAAAAGCCAGACAGGAAAAAAAAAATTTAATTTGCTTGATATTATCATAGAGCAACAAGGCGGAGAGGCTGTGAGGGGCCGAGATCTTGGAGAAAAGGGAAGCCCAAAGATAGAAACCTGGTACACGGCATCATTTCTCCCTTGGGGGTTGTGTTGCTTTGAAAGTGGCAGTTAAAAGGATGAGAAGCTGGGGGTGAGGGAGATGGGTGAAGGTGGTCCAAGGGTACAAAATTCCAGTGATAAGATAAGTAAGTCTTGGGACACCTGGGTGGCTCAGTTGGTTAAGCGTCTGCCTTCAGCTCAGGTCACAATCCCGGGATCCTGGGATTGAGTCCCGCATCAGGCTCCCTGCTAAGCAGGGAGCCTGCTTCTCCCTCTGCCTGCTGGTCCCCCTGCTTGTTCCCTCTCTCTTTCTCTCGCTCTCTCTCACACACACACACACAAATAAATAAAATCATAGATTATACATACATAAAAAAAGATAAATAAGCTTTCGGGATATAACGTACATCATGGTGACTTTGTAATTAACATTTGTAATTAACAATTAACATTGTAATTAACAATACTTTGTCATATATTTGAAAGTTGCTGAGGGGCGCCTGGGTGGCTTGGTCAGTTAAGCATCCACCTTTGGTTCAGATCATGATCCCGGGGTCTGGCATCAAATCCCAGGATTGAGTCCCGCATTGGGTTCCCTGCTCAGTGGGGAGTCTGCTTCTCCCTCTTCTCCTCCCCACCACTCGTGTTCTCTCTCTCACTCTCTCTCAAATAAATAGACAAAATCTTAAAAAAAAAAAAAGAAAGAAAGAAAGTTGCTGAGAGATCGGATCTTAAAAGTTCTCACACACACATAAAAAATGAATAACTATGGCAGTTGATAGACATTAACTTATTTTAGTCATTTCATAATATATAACTCTACCAAATCCTCGTGTTGTGCACCTAAAAGTAACACGCTGTTACATGCCGATTATATCTCAATAAAACCGGGGATGAGGCGGGGAGGAGGAGAAGCTAAACAGGAAGTAGGGACTGAGTGGACAGAAGCCTGGCTGAGCTGGCAACCATCTTGGACTGAGGGGCCAGAAACAGAAGCTTGGGCCCACAAGGTTTTCCATCAGAACCTTACAGGCCACATTCTAGGAGAAGGAGGAAGACCTGAACATTGATTGCCCCCTACAAAGATCAAAACGCAGCTTAGCAATTGCTCTATGCCTGAGTCGACTACGGTAACCCACCCCAACTGGCTGCCCAAAGTGAAAGTTAATCCTCTGGGGAGAGACAACATTCACCTGGGCCTAAATTATGTCCAGCACAGTTCATCCAAAACGTCCAGCTCCCAGTCAAACATTGGGACGTATCCAGAATACATAAAGAACTCCTAAAAACCCCCAAGAAAAAAAAGGCAGACGATCCAGTCTGGGAAGAAAAAGAACGAAAGACCTCACAAAAGATACCCAAATGGCCAAGAAACAGACTAAAAAACTACCATAATTAAAATCATGCGATACTGTAGATCATACTTAATATAAAAGTAGATGAAATAAATCAACAGGGAAAAGATAGATGGGTGGTTATAGGTAAGTGAGTTAACTGGGGAGAGATCAGTTTTTTGTTTTTGTTTTTGTTTTTTAAACATTTTATTTATTTATTTGACAGAGAGAGATCCCAAGTAGGCAGAGAGGCAGGCAGAGAGAGAGGAGGAAGCAGACTCTCCACAGAGCAGAGAGCCCGATGTAGGGCTCGATCCCAGGACCCTGGGATCATGACCTGAGCTGAAGGCAGAGGCTTTAACCCACTGAGCCACCCAGGCGCCCCGAGAGATCAGTTTTTAAGGCTTGTGTTGGAACACCAGAAGAAATTTTGGTTGGTCGAGATAGTTAAATTCAAAAGAAGGAAAGTGGGGAGGGGGGGAATCCAATCCCTAAAAACTGAAGGAAAGTGAAGGAGAGAGCTCCCCCAGGGCCTTGGCACAGTCACCCTGGCTGAGCTCTGCTGAGCCCAGGAGCACCGAGCAGCAGAGGGCGGGGGCAGTGAGGGTCCGTGGGGATGGTGAGCAGATGGGGATAGTGAACGCCGGGCAAGGGAGGGGCAGGGACTGCAGCGGAGAGTGGGGGCACTGGGGACACCGAGCAGCAGAAGGCGGGGGCACTGGGGGCACCGAGCAGCAGAGGATAGGGACTGGGGACACCCAGCAGCAGAGCGTGGGCACTGAGCAGTGGAGGGCGGGGCCACTGGGAGGGCAGCAAAGGGCAACTGATTACCGCGTCGATCTCGTTGAGGACCTTCCACTGCTCGTATGGCACACCCAGGGCCTCAGCTGTCTGGATGGTCCTCTTCATCTGGCTCGTCCAGACCTTCAGGTCCTTTATGTTCTGATCACGGATGAACTGGGCCAGACTTCTGGCAAACTGAAATGCATCAGAAACAAATTCAGACCCACAGGCCCAAGGCAGCCCTTCAAAGGACCACAAAGCTATAGGGCACAACAGAATCATGCCCACCCAGCCCCAGAACACAGAGAACTGACCTCCTGAGAGCACCCACACCCACGAGCACTCTCGTTACATGTTCTCACCAGATGCTCCCAATTCCAGTTGTGAAGCATTATGCCCCTCGCCATCGCCCACCTCCCAACCAGATGGCCCGGACCACATGGCCTCCCCACAGAGGCCTGAGCATCTCCCCCAGACTTCGGGGCAGCCATCAGCTGCATTGCAGGGACTTGGGTCACTCCCATGACAGCGTGCCTCTCCAAGGAAAGGGGCTCAACTGGTGACAGCTCACATGGAAGCCAGAGATCCAAGCGTGGTGCTTGGTGACTTTCCCTACATGATAGGAACATTCCAGATTGAATGAAGGTCATCCACCTTGATTACACATGAGCTACGAGAGCTGGAGCCAGGCCCGTTGAACACATGCATACATGCACCCAGCTGTGCACGGCTCCCCCCACCACCCCCGAGCAGGCCAATGCATGCGCACACACACGCACTGACCTCCCTGCCCCGGGGGGACAGGCCCGGGTCCCCGCCGATCCGGCCCTTGAGGTTGAGCTCGCTTTCCCCGTGTCGGCAGAGGTAGATGGAGCGGGGGGTCACATGGATGTTCATGAGGTAGTACACGATGCGGCTCTGGATGTGGTCGACCACGCGGTTCACTACGTAGCTCTGCCCCACGTCCATGATCTTGATGTAGGACAGATCCCTTTCCAGAGAGAAGGGCGACAGAGATGTGTGAGTGTGACTGCGCCCCCCTGCCAGCCTTAGAGCTGTGTGCTCCAGACCACCAGGCTCGAGATCACGACACACGGGACGGGCAGCGGGTGTGCAAGTGATGGGATGAGGAGGGAGCAACACAACACGTGGGACATCCAGACAGACCCCGTGAAAGGTGCTCAACACTTATCGTGTTTCTAAAAGGTGACATCGAAAGGGTCAGTCATACACATTGTGACTGTCACCCCAGCTCTGTGGCCCCCAGGCCCCACTTGCCTACCTCTGAGCTCTTAACGCACAGTCTGTAAGGTGAAGAAGAGAGTTTTTTTTTCCAGGCCTGACCTTGGGGTAGCTGGTAAACCTTCTTCGCCTCCGCTCCCCTGGCCAGCCACCCCTGGACCTGCTTCTCCTTCCCCCAGGAAGCCTGCTCCTGTACCCCAGCTCAGCCGCTTCCCTTGCTCACTCAGGCTGGGCAGCGGGGCGGCTGGGAGAACATGCTCACTCGTCTGTTTATGTTTGCTGGGTGTTGGGGTGGCAGCAGGAGGAAAGGCGGGGTTTCTTGGGCATCGTGCTCTGCGTTGGCCTGGGCAGGCCGTCTGAAGGCTCTTAGCTGAGTTCTCACTGTCTGGCCCGAGGGCCTGGGTTTAGGGTTAGGGTTGTTACACAAACACCAATAAAAACAGCAGCAGCAGCAACTGAGAAATCCGACAGGAGCAGCTCCATCTGGCTAAGCCCCTCTCATGCAGTTACATCACAGAACCACAAGAACCACTGTGCTGGGGTGACTGGAGAACACAAAAAACCACAGGGGCCCAGGCAGTGGGTGCCGACTGGCCTGGGCTGGCCACAGACACTCAGTCAGTGTAGGAATTGTTCTGTAAAGACACCCAGAAATCATCTCTCTTTCAGGCGCCTGTTCCCCCTGGTTTGTACGCATGAGATGTTCTCATATGATTATACTATACAGGCCCCATGTCCAGGTTTATATTCCAGACGTTCAGGTAATGCTACATAACTTACCCTGTCGCCTGTGTCTTGGCTATGATCTGTGACTATGCAATACTTTACCAGGGGCCACGGTGTTACTGACTTAACCACTGCCCCCACTAGGCTGTTACACAGAAGTTGGCAAACTATGGCCAACAAGTCAAATTCGGCCCACAGCCTGTTTTTGTAAATAAAGTTTTATGGGAATAGGAGTCATGCCCATTTATTGACATATTGTCTACGTCTCCTTTGCACTACAATGGCAGAGTTAAATAACTCAACAGAAACTGTTTGTTCCCAAAGCCTAAAATATTTGCTACCTGACTCTTTACAGATAGAGTTTGCTACTGTAAGAGCCTTAACTGCATGCCCCTTGCGGGTCTGAAGACCCTTCCCCACCCAACACTTACTTTTGCTGGGTTTGCCATTCCAGAAGGAGGCTGTGGAGCTAACCAGCACAGGCCACTGCCAGCTGTATGTAGACAGGATCTGGGCACTCCTCCTACCCCCACCGCCTCAAAACACAGACTGTGCACTCACAGAACATGAAATATTTGCAAATGCCCTGCGGGAAGGCCCTCCACACAGAAATTAGGCTTGATTTTATAAGAGAATAGCAGAAAATTCTTTCTTCCTTTTTTCTTCCTTTCTCCCTCCCTCCCTCCCTTCTTTTTATTATTTAATTTTTTAAAAGATTTTATTTATTTATTTGACAGACAGAGATTACAAGTAGTCAGAGAGGCAGGCAGGGAGAGAGGAGGAAGCGGGCTCCCCGCTGAGCAGAAAGCCCGATGCAGGGCTCGATCCCAAGGACCCTGAGACCATGACCTGAGCCGAAGGCAGAGGCTTTAACCCACTGAGCCACCCAGGCACCCCCCTTCCTTTCTTTTTAGCAAGCTCTATGCCCAATACAGGGCTTGAACTTATGACCCTGAGATCAAGAGTCGCATGGAATAACAGAAAACTCTGACTTGCTGAGCCTCACATAAGGTAATAGGGGTTCTGCAAGTCACCTCTGGCCCACAATTTCTTCTTCTTTTTTTTTTAAGATTTTACTTATTTATTTGACAGACAGAGATCACAAGTAGGCAGAGCAGCAGGCAGAGAAAGAGGGGGAAACAGGCTCCCTGCTGAACAGAGAGCTTGATGCAGGGCTCGATCCCAGGACCCTGGGATCATGAGCTGAGCCTAAGGCAGAGGCTTAATCCACTGAGCCACCCAGGCACCCCTAGCCCACAATTTCTGCCCGAAGGGAAGAAACAAGGCTAGACCATCTCTGCCTGTTGGGGCGGCCCTTCAGCCACCACGCCGGCGAGTCACAAGGAGGCAGCTGAGCGGGACCCCCGCGCACCACCCGTCATAGCTGCAGAACACGGTAATTGCTTCACTCACCTGTCCAGGTCCTCGTCCAGGGACTCGTACGAGTTCTCATAGCACTCAATGCGCCGCATGAAATCTTCTGTGGCCTCGTCACTGTCGTGGTTCACGTAGTCAGGGCTGCCCAGTTTCACTTGCTGTCGGACCAGGCACAGAGCAAGGACACATGAGGGCTGGAGGCCAGGCAGGGCCAGAGACCAAGGAGGATGCTGGGCGGGGCGTGAGGGGACGCTGAGCCAGAGGCCAGGACAAGGATGGGGGCATGAGGCTGGAGGCCAACCTCAGGAGACTTTTCCATTAGGAAGAGTACAGCAGTCCCCTGGTCTTCATTCCCACATTAGTGTTGGCAGACTACTACTGGGCAGCCGAAGGTGGGAGTCCTCATCTTTGTGGCAAGCGGGAGGTGAAGCCACAGGGGCAAAGGGCCTGGAAGCCCCTTCCCAGCTGAACCATCTCCCCCAACCCAGATGTTCATTCCTTGGATAAGGAGATAGGGGACAGGGTGTAGGGGAGAGAGGTCAAATCTCTTTCTCTTTCAAAATATAAACATCGCTTCCTACCCCCCACTCCCTACCTGCAGAGGCTGAAGCTCCTCTCCCACTGTCCAGGGAATGACGATGGGGAAAGGGAGGAGAAGGCAAGAGGAGGGAGCAAGAGTGCATGCCCCCCCAGCCACATGGCCCTCTACATGAGAGAGTCTCCGATCACCTGACCCGGCATTGTACGGCCTTCCCCTGCCACACCAATGTTCAAGAAGCCCAAAGCCAGGCCAGCCTAGGCACTGGCCCAAACCCGCAGATGGACCTCGCTGTCCCACGCCACCTCCGCTGCACTACGATCCCCCACAAGGTCAGAGACACCACTCACCACGATGTTAGCAGCTATGACCTCGGGGTCCACGCAGATGGACTCCACAAAAAAGGTCTACAGCAAGGACGAGGCCGGGCAGGAGGGAAGGAACCACAGACACATTCAGGGCACTGGGCCTGGCTCCACGGAGCTCCCACCTCCCTGAGGGCCAAGCTGACCCCAGGGCCCTTCTTCTGGGGTGGGGACAGGCTCGAGAAGCCCCAAACCAAACTAGGTGCCACCCTACCCAGAACCCTCCCATAAGACACCCACCTTCCTGGAAAGAAAAGCCCAAGTAGAGAGGAAACAGCAACCCCTTTACCCTACATCCACCCAGAAGCCCACCTTCCTGACCCCCGCACACATCAGGAGGCTGTGACAGGGACCTGGGGGGTCCGAACGTGGCACAGCCCAACCGAGGAGGTGGACCAAAGACGCCTCACCTTGTAGCCATTCTGCTCCCCAAAATTAAAGATGGTCGCTCTCCGTTCTCGGGTGGTATTCGTTGCATCAAAAACCTAGGACCAAACCAGGGTTAACTCGGACTCTGGCCCCAGAGCGGGGGAGGTGGGAGGCCAGCCAACGGCAGCTACACAGGGACCATTTTTCTCACGGGGACCAGCTGGTGCCCAGGCCACCTGCCTGGCCAGTTTCTGCAGGGCCTGGGCCAGGCCTCCCCTTCCTTGAGGAACACGCCTCAAGGAAGCTGGAAGGAGCGGGTGCCTGTGCTCCCGGCAGGCACTCAGTCCATGCTTGGCCAACAGGACTTCCTGTAAAACCAGTTAAACATGGGGTGCGGAACCCCCGTTTATCGTCACTCTACCCCGAGACTCCACAAAGACGGGAAAAGAAGAAGAAAGAGAACAGGAGAGATATTAGCAGAATTTGGGGGACTAACTCAGAGAAACGGAGAAAACCAAACACAAGCCCTCGGCCAGAAGAGCACACCCACCTGTATGGAACAGGGAGCATCAGGAAAGGGACCCAGGTGTCTCCGAGAAAAGGGACAAGCATGCAGTGGAAACAGGGGGACTGCCTGGTGGTGAAACTAAGAGCAGGTGGAGCCCCAGGCCCTCTCCCTGCCTTGTCCAGCCAGGCTGACCCACCTGGGCCTCCTTGTGAACCGCTGGGGCCTGTCCATGTGCCCTCAGGAGTGACCCATTCACTTGCATGTCTGAAACCAGGTTTTAAGGCATCATTTAAAAAATATATATATTTTATTTATTTATTTGTCAGAGAGAGAGAGAAGGCGAGCACAAGCAGAGAGAGTGTCAGGCAGGGGAAGAAGCAGGCTCCCCACAGAGCAAGGAGCCTGATATGGGGCTCGATCCCAGGACCCGGGATTATGATCTGAGCCAAAGGTAGACACACCCAACCAACTGAGCCACGGGGTGTCCCGAGCATCACTTTTTTAAGAGGGCATTCAACCAGGGCTCATGGGATGCTCCAGCAAAACCTCAACGTGAAAAACAGAGACTACATAGAAAAGAATAAAAGGAACTGTGAGGAAATGAAGATGGGACAGGGAACAGAAAGAAATGTCAAAAAACAAAACAAACAAACAAAAAACCCTTACAACTATTATCAAAAGAGAGATACAAAATACTGTAAGAACCCTGAAACAGAAATAGAGTTATAAAAAACTGGAACACTCAAAGATAAGAAATGTAGAATTTAGAGATTAAAATATGATCACAGAAATTCCTTAAAAATTCAACTGGATGCTTGTACAGTAATGTTGAGAAAGTCTCCCTGAAAATAGAACACAAGTGACAGAGATAGGAAATCGGGAGAGAAAAAAAAGATAACTGGGGCTCAGGTCCAGCATGAAACCACCAGGAGTTCTTGAAAAAGCAGCTCAGAAAATTGGGAGTGGAGCAGAGAATCAACTGTCAGAAACTGGTGGGGGTGGTTTATTAAAGCAATATGACATTTTCCCTGACCTGTTAGAAAAGAGTTTCGAATTAGAAAGGGTGGCCCTGGGGGGCACCTGGATGGCTCAGTGGTTTAAGCTTCTGCCTTTGACTCAGGTCATGATCTCAGGGTCCTGGGATCGAGCCCCACATAAGGCTCTGCTCAGCAGGGAGCCTGCTCCCCCCCCCCCCGCCTCTCTTGCCTGCCTCTGCCTACTTGTGATCTCTCTCTCTGTCAAATAAATAAGTAAAATCTTTAAAAAAAAAAAAGAAAAGAAAAGAAAAGAAAGGGTGGCCCTGGGACCCAGCACAATGGAGAAGACCCACCACAAGGTCGTCAAGTTCTCCCCAGAGAAAAGGGCATGAGCAGCCCCAAGAGACGAAACTTTTGGGAAGATCAGCAAATCAGAATGCCATCAGGCTTTTCCACACTACTCTAGAAGCCATACTACAACAGAACGATGTTGTGGAAATTCTAAAGGAAAAATACTTCCCACCTAAACCCAACCATCAGATAGTTGGATGAAAAGCCATTGCCAGACACGTAAGATCTCATGCAAGGTAATTCCCAAGTACCTTCCTTGGGAAGCTACTGCAGGATAAGCTCCAACAAAACAAGTCAGTAAATCAAGGAAAAAGAAGACACGGAGGCCAAGAGCAGGGCTTCAACTGGGGAGCCAGGACGAGGGAAGTCCTGAGACCAAGAAGGGGACTGAGTCAGGTGGAGCTGGGAGATTAAGAGCTGCAGGAACCACACCTCCAAGAGGAAAAAGCAGCTCCTGTGTTCTATTGCATAGGGTGAGGAGAGGGGCCTTTCCCATAAACACCCGGGCTCAACCTGGCCCTGCCCATCCATCTGACAGGAGCCACTAGCACATTGTTGGAATTCCATTACCGAGGATTCAGCAGGTTCCAGGAACAGCCACTAAATGCGCGGCAGGATTCTCTCCAGCCCAGCAGAAATCACACTTGCTCAAGACTTAGGTAACACGATAACCACATGTGGTGACTGACAATGTGAGTATCCAGAAGGAAGACCTACTAGGTCAAATGCAACCACAAGTCCAGAGGGAAATTCCCAGTACACATCCAGCCTCCGACTTCCTTCTGTATGGTGACTGTAGACTTCCTCCCAGGGCCTGGCACCCAGGGGCCGCTGCAGCCACAAACACCCTCCCTCCCTGCCAGGCACCTGACAAGCAAAAGGGTAGATGTAGCTAGGCTTCCCACATGTCACTCCCAAAAGACACCGGGATGTCCCACTCACCGCCACATGGCCTCCCTCCTCACTGAGGAACCGCCGGACGTCACGGAGGGCTGCCAGCGCACACTGCCTTCAGAAGAGAAAACAGGGTCAGCCCCACACCCGACCCTGAAGGCCGGAGGGCCACAGGGCCACAGTTCAGAGACACATCCTACCCTGACCAGGGAGGGCCCAGTCCCTGGGGCCCGTACCCTTCTCAAGGTCGCTTTCTCCTTGAGGTCCTTTTCAGTACTTTTGCTAACTCTGCTCCTATACCCCGAAGGTTATGTGCTCCTGGCCACGGGGTATATATATATTTTTTAAGATTTAATGAATTTATTTGACAGAGAGAGAGAGAGAGAGCACAAGCAGGGGGAGCAGCAGGCAGAGGGAGACGGAGAGGCAGAGAGAAAAGCAGGCTCCCAGCTGAGCAGGCAGCCCAATGCGGGACTCGATCCCAGGACTCAGGGATCATGACCTGAGCTGGAGGCAGATGCTTAATCGACTGAGCCACCCAGGCACCCGCAAAATACGCACTTTTAAAACCAGATGGTTCCTTGTGTGTGAGTGCTGGGGGCTGGTGGTAGGAGAGAAAAGACACTGTTGCTGGCCCCCAGGGCGACATTATACTTAATATTCCATTTGCTTTCCTGGAAGAGCGAATATGTGAAACTCTTATGGAGGAGGTTGCTGTGTCTCTGCCTCTTGCACCTATGTCCACGAACCCTCTGGAAGATGAAATCTTCCCCATGACTAACCATCAACTATATTGCCTTCAGAACACCTCAGCCTTTTGGTTTATTGCTGCAAAATGGGCTGTCATACTTAAGGTCTTCCTCATACTATCCTTTTCTCCTCTAATGTCTGGAGACAGGCAGGTCACTCAAGGCTTTTATCTATTACCTGCACTTTTTTTCCCCAAAGATTTTATTTATTTATTTGACAGAGAGAGAGAGATCACAAGTAGGCAGAGAGGCAGGCAGAGAGAGAGGGGGGAAGCAGGCTCCCTGCTAAGCAGAGAGCCCGATACAGGGCTCGATCCCAGGACCCTGGGACCATGACCTGATCCGAAGGCAGACACTTAACCATATGAGCCAGCCAGGCGCCCCTACCTGCACTTTCTTGATGCAAGAGTAAAGTTAGAAAGTTAGATGTTCTTCCGTTTGTTTGATCTTCAGATTTGGTACACAAACCTGCAGCACATCCAAGGACGGAGCTGTGGGGCCTTTCACCAGCTGGGCCCCAGGGCCTGAGCATGGAGGCACAGGCCAGGCAGAGCAGGGGGCCGGCCGCTGGGGTCAGGGGCAAATTGGTGGCACAGCTGAGTCCAGGTCCCCAGAAGCTGTTCTGCTCCTATGCCTCTTTGTGACCTTTTTGCACCCCGGCAGGTCTTTTGGTTAAAACTTTAAAGAGCTTTCTTCTGGGGCATGTGGGTAGCTCAGTGGGTTAAGCCTCTGCTTTTGGCTCAGGTCATGGTCTCAGTGTCCTGGGATCGAGCCCCACATCAGGCTCTCGGCTCAGCGGGGAACCTGTTTCCCCTTCTCCCTCTGCCTGCCTCTCTGCCTACTTGTGATCTCTCTCTCTCTGTCAAATAAATAAATAAAATCTTTAAAAAAAACAAAAGAGCTTTCTTCTGCCAAGAAAAACCCTGAATTCTGAGAGTCTGGGCAACACATTGCTGGAGCCATTTCTGGCCAGCTGTGCGAACGCCCTGGATCCTGGACTAAGATTGGCGGTTGCTCTGGCTGAGGCAACACCAGGTGAGGGGGATCTCGGGGCTCCAGTGGAGACGTGGGACCAGCAGCCAGGGAGCCCAAGCGTATGCGGGTGTGGGTGTGAAGCGGGGATGGTCTTGTGGGACTGAGCCCTTCCCCTGTGCAGACTGATGCTAACTCCAGGTGCACCGTGTCAGGACAGACCTGAATAGGATTGTTAGATGCACATGCATGTGCCCACGGGCGTATGTGCACGCGGGCTCATGTGTGGTAGAAGACTAAGTGTGCCCAATGGCGCGTGTGTTCACGTGACCTGCATGTGCACACGTGACCTTGCATGCCCTTCCCTGGACCTTCCACGGTGCCCGGTGTCAGGGACAGACATCGATGTGTAGCCCCAGGGACCTCAACAATGTGTTGAGGTCACCCAGGCCTCTGGGCAATCTAGCCTTCCCTTCTCAGGCTTCCCATTTTAAAAAGTCTGATCCTTCTGTGTTGCCATTTACCTGTGGGCATTTTGGGCTGGTTATTGGGAAACGGTCCTGAAGCCCAGGGGCCAGAGCTAGACTTCAGATCCAGGAGGGAGGGTTTCCAGGAATAGCCAGAGGGCCTGCCTGCAGGTAGGCTCCAGTGAACCCACCCCCAGCTTCTCCCACTGGGGCCTCTGTTCCATCTGGGCCACCCTAGCCTAGCTCCCCAACCTCTCCAAGTCGGTGTTTCCCCCTCTGAGTTAATCCCAATACTCCTACCTTCGGGAGGCCTGAGCAGAATTACTGGTGGGCCCTGGCAGGGCCAGCTCCCTTATTCTTCCCACAGACACTCTGGATTTAGACAGGCCTGGCTTCAGATTCAAACCCTGCGTGATCCCAAGCAACACCATCGCTTTCAGACCATGCCTCCCCATCTGGGGGAGTGAGGTGACACCACCGGCCCCCACGTAGGAGAGGACAAACCGGCTAGTGGGTGCCCACAGCTTGAAGTTGTTGCAGAATTGGCACTGGATACAACCTCTGACCTACTAACTGGGTAACACTAGAAAGATGGACACGGAAGTCTTCGGTGGTGTGGGCTTAGATTCAAGTCCGGGCTCTGGGCAGAAACGTGTTATCTTGTGTGAGACTCCTGAGCCTCAGTTTCCTCACCTGTAAAATGGGCAGGAGTGACAATGGGCAGCATGCACCCAACACACAGCGGGAGTGCAAATACCAGTCCCCTCCCTTTTGTCTGGGTCACAGAGAGTCCGCCCCCAGTTTCACCCACAATTGGGCCACAGGCCTGAACGACAGACTCCCCTTCCCCTTTCTTGGTGCTGCGGCACCAGGACCACGCCCCACAGTGGGGAGCTCTTGCCCCCTGGTGGCCAGAGACGGAGCAAGCAGCCTAGTACCCAGGCCTAGGCGACAAACGCAGAGCTTCTGGCCTGGAGCTCTGCTTGATTTGGGGAGGTCCCTAGAGCTGCGCCAGCCTCTGCTAAATGCCCTAGCACAATGGCCGAACCCCAAGCAAGCGTAAGGAGACTTCTTGATCCCTCAGCTGGCACCTGCCAAAAAGAGCACAGATCCCCAGACCACCAGTTGGAGTCTGAAAGGGGCGGGGAGGGGAGGAGGTAGGGTATTATCTGCAAATTCCCATCTCATGAATGAGAACAGAGGGTCAAGTCTGAGCCACTTGAAAGCAAAGCCGAGGCCTGTCCTACACATGCCAAGAACATGCTAAGCAAGTGCCAAACATCCTCCAAATACACAGTTTATCAAGGAAAGGGTAGGAAGGGTGCGGTACTGGGCCCAATCCTTCCCACTCTGTGCCAGAAGGTGGTCCCTTGTCCCACTCTGCCCCATCCTGGAGGCCTGTGTCCCCACACCCATTCAGGCTCCCCTCCTTACCAGAGGCCATGCCGGTGGAGGGCCTGGGGTAAGAAGTGAGAGGTCTCTGCAGCCGGCCCATGACCTGTCCTAGGTCTCCTCAATCTCTGAAGCCCCATCTTCCCCTCCCATAGGATGTCCTTACTAAGGGTTCATAAATCCCAGGGAGGGCCAGCCGCCAAGGTGCCACCCTGGGGCACCTGGGTGGCTCAGTAGGTTAAGGGTCGGCCTTCGGCTCAGGTCATGATCTTAGAGTCCTGGGATCGAGCCCCACGTGCGGTTCCTTGCTTAGCAGGGAGTCTGCTGCTCCTTCTCCCTCTGCCCCTCCCCACTGCCCATGCTCTCTCTTCTTCTCTCTGTCTCAAATAAAATAAAATCTTAAAAAAAAAGAGGACTTATACCCTCGCCTATTGTCCCCATATCACCAACCCCACCACACTCTGAGAGATCAGAAGACCAACCCTGTCATAGCCCAGTGGGGCAGAGCAAGGCCAGGGCTCAGGAGCAGCTGGACATCTGGGCTCCAAGGTCTTCTCTGTAAACACACATAATTACACACGTACACACTCACTTCCTGATCTTTAGGCCCTCTTCGTTGTCTGGAAGGAAAAACTCAAAAGACTTGTACGTCTTGACCATGTCCCGGCGATACTGGCCAACGTTGAATTCTGGGGGAAAGAAAGGCTCAGCTTTCACACACCCAGCAGCAGCCCTCCCCAGTTCTTGACCTTGACCCACTCCAGGCCAGCCTTCTCTCTTCCCCTCCCCTCCCCCACAAAGCCCCCAGGCCCCCTTGGAATCCCAGGCCAAGTCTCACCTCGGGTGGGCACACCAATCCAGTTCAGGTAGCGAGTCAGCTTCTTAGAGATGTAGGTCTTGCCCCGGGCGGGCAGGCCGACCATGACAATGAGCGTTGGGCAGTTGGTCATGCAAACTGAAAGGCAAGGAGGCGGTGTCAGATAAGGGCTGGGACACCTCCCAGTGGGCCCCTCCCTCTGCTCCTGCCACAGGACATCAAGATGGGCCTGCCAGGCCTCCTGGCCTTAAGACCCTGGTGTCAGCCACCGCTGGCATAACCCTGCTGCCCAGGCCTGCCTGGGCTCCAGCAGCTGCGGCAGAATCTCCTCAGCCCCTTATCCTGATGGGTACTGCGGATATAAAGCCGGACCTGCCCCACCCCTGAATGAACAGGCAGACAGAGCCAAAGCCCAGGAGACAGTCAACGCCCACCTGTCATCCCGGAACCCACACCCAGCTGCACGGAACCTTTTCAGCATTTCCTGCCAGCACAGTTCCACTGCTTATCCTCCCCGCTGGGAATTTTGCCTCATCTGGTACAAAGCCCGGCTCAAAAGCTGCTTCTTCGGGGAGCCCTGCCTCCTAGCCACCTCCATGGTACCCCGGCACACTCCCTCAATCCTGGTCACCCCACCCATGGGTCCGCCCCCTGCACCTGACTACTTGGAGAGAGAGCAGCCCTGCAGCGCCAGAGCCGTTCAGGATCACGCAGTCTGGCACAGAGTTGCTTCTCAAAAACTATGGGGCAAAGAGGGGGGGAGCAGCATCTCGAAATTCCCCAGGGTGAGTGCCACGGGGCTGAGACCAGAGACCCAGACCAATGTCCACAAGGACTGTCCCTTGCACAGCCCACCCGCCACCATCCCATGTGCCACCAGGTCAGTGCGCCCCCCCCGGGAGAAGCTGCCGAGGCCAGAGGCGGGGACGGGTCTGGACACAGCATCCCCAAACCCTGGCCCACTGGGACAGACACCAGGGCAGCAGAACTACCAGCCTCACGTGATCCGGCTCGGCTTTCAGTGTGGCCTCACCATAGAAACCTTAGAAAGCTTCCCTTTCACTGTCCCCAGCACCTAGGCCATGTGAAACCACAGCAGACAGACAGGTGGCCCATGTGGGGACCTGTCACTGTCCCTCTTTTGCCCCCAGGGCTCTGCAAATGCCGTCTCCTGGCAGCCCTTCTTGGGCAGCTTGCTGGGCCCTACCCCTCACTGGAGTTGGAGCACAGAGGCCCCAGGGGCAGCCCCGTTTGGGGCTCAGGAGTCAGGTCTGGGTTCCCATCTGGACTCTTGACAACGACTGGTAACTCTGAGCCTTGGTGTCCTCACCTGTCAAATGGGATGAGAATCGCTCAGTGAGGCCCCGCACTATCTCCAGGTAAAAGCCAGAGTGTGTCTAGGAAGCCAGAGCCACCTGCCCCACCCTGAGATGCAGGGGCACCTCGGCATCCACTGTCCTTGGGACCTGGGGGACAGAGGCATCTGTCCGTCTCCAGGCAGGTCCCACAGCGAACCAAAGGGCCCTGCTTGCCAGTGGGGGCTGCAGCGCTCCTGGACTGGACGTGACCTTTGGACAGATGTGACCTAAACCTTAAGTCTCAGGGGAGGGAAGGACAGGATCCCACGGAATACGGGCTGACAGTGAGCAAGCGGGAACTTGCAGAAAAACCTCAGCATTGGCTAAGGTGAGAGAAAAGCAAGTTAAGCAAGGCCCTGCGTCCTGAGGGCCAGCGACACTGGGGCCTGTGCTGATTGCACAACTGCTGGCCAGGGCTTGCAAGCAAGCCAAGGGCAGTGAGTCGGCCGCTAAGCACCGGGTGGCGGGGGGAGCCTGCACACCCAGACTGCTTCCCTCCTTCCCAATGCTCCCTGAAGGGCTCTCCCAAGCCTTCAGGAGTGTGGTTCTACACCCCCTCTTCACATCTCCTATCTTCCCAGAGACAGCCCTGGCTTCCTCCCCCAGTGTGTGGTGACAGGATCCCCTCCCCAGCCCCATGCACGGCCACCTGCAGAAGGCGGGCAGGGCGGTCCACCAGGGCTGGGAGCAAAAGCAATAAATTACCTACCAACACTGTTCCTCAAGATAAGCTCCCAAGGAAATGACCCAAAGAAAGCTCAAAGTACACGTGTATTTGCAATAGCTCTGCTTACAACAGCATAACATAAGCAAGCTAGCAGAAGAGGAATTACAAACCGAGGCCCACAAGAGGGAACACACGACCGGGCCTGAACAGAGAGCATAAGCACCAGGGGAGCTGGGGTTCTGGGCCCCTCGAGAGCCTCGGCACTGGGCAATTAGACAGCAGAACATGAGGCTTATGTGCCCAAGGAGATTTGCAGATATGTCCAATCAACTTACCTCACTGGTTCCTTCTCCTATAAATTTGCTTAGGGCCACAAGAGCCCTAGGAATCAAGGGGCCCGAGACAAGGCTGGTGCTATCCTGTGATAACTTTCTGGTGGACCACCTCAGGGGCTGCCACAAGCCCTAAAGAAGGTTCCAGAACTGCACCTGCTCCTGAGCATGTCTCCTTGGGCCAAGCTGGGGAAGGGAGAAAGCAATCTGGCATGACTGTCTTGTTCAGAGGGGACAGAAAGTCATCTCCCTTGTTGTCCTGTGCCCATTCCAGTCATGTCCTTAGCCAAGAAGTTCTTGCTACCTTATTGCCAATAAAAGCTATCTCAAGTGCCATTCTTTCTGGCATGCTCTGAGTCCTTTCTTCAGCCCCTGCCCCACCTGCCCCCAGTGCTCCTCCAGGGCTGAGCTGAGGGGTCAGTGATGAAGAAAGGTAACAGGTTCCACGCCCTCATGTGAAGCCTGAATTTACCCAAAGGAAAAAGAATTGCTAACGGAGAGTAGGGGTAGAAGAGGCACAGCCAAGCAGTCGCTGGTGCCCTCAGAGGCCAGGGACTAGGCACCCAAAGATAACCCACTGCACAGCACAGACCAGCCATGGGCCTCTACAGCCTCTTCTCTATACAGCCTCTGATCAGGTCAACTTCCACCCATCCCCCACCCGTCCTTGGGGTCTTCCACCAAGTTATAAATTACTACGCAGGGGGTAAAATGCTACATGGCAAAAAAAAAAAAAAAAAAAAAAAAATGCTACATGGCTACATGCACAGGCTCTGGGGACTGTGGGTGCTGCCCAGTCAGGTTCCATGTTCACTCATGGCTTACTCTCCGCTGTGAACTCGGGGACCTTCGCCCGGGACCCAAATCCCCATACAATCTGCAGGTCTCATCTTTGGTTTCTTGGGTGCCTCCTCCTCCAGGAAGCCCTCTTGAGCTAGGCCAGTCCAGAATCTCACCTACTGTAACAGCCTGAGACAGGGCCACACACAAGCCCCTGTGCTCAGGCCAGAGCCATATTTTCACTGCATCCTTGGAGCATGGAGAAACACAGGCCCCTCCCCACTGAGCCTCAGCATCTTTGCCATCTGGAATGGGGGTTGGCTCACAGCTGATGCTTCAGTTCCTGACTCTGAGGTATTGAGAAGCAAAGAAGGGTGGTGATGAAATGACAGCATCACCTGCCACCACTTATCAAGCATCTCCCCTCAAAGAGGCTCACAGCAGCTCCTGAGGGCAGGGATGATGACTGTCTCCATCCCATAGATGAGGAACCCGTGGCCTAGCAAGAGTATCAGCTCCTTGCCCAAGGTCACACAGCTGAGCAACAATGTGGCTCTTCAAAGCCCAGGTTCTGACTTCTTGCCCTTTATATAATAACAGTGGCCACCCCCTCATTAGGACAACACAGACTGGCTAGAAGCACAAGGGCAAGGGGCCTTGGCTTTGGTCCCTCCACAGAAAAGTCTGGAAGGAGGGCTGGCTAGGCACTCACTATTGCCTCTCAGGACCAAGTATTGACTGGAAAGCCATGGCCCCAGGCCTAAGAGCCTGATCATCACCTAAGAATCCTACCAAGACCTAGATCATGGTCAGAGCCATGACCCACCAGAATGCCTGGTCAAAACCACGGCCACCCCCCCTAACAGGACCCGGTGTAGTAAGAGACACACACAGCCCACCCATAGGACTTACATTTTGGTCAAAGCCAAGGCTTCCAGGCTGGCCTCAAAGCCAAACAAGAACAGAGCACTCTCCCCTCCCTTATCATGCCCAAGCAGAGGTCAAGGAGTACAGAGAGACCTTAGCACATCGCACAATCTCCTGATCTCCATTTCTGTTTCTGTACCCAAGTTGGACAAGATGTTCTCTGAGGTCCTTGCCAACTTGTAAATTCATTATAATGTTTGCTACTCCTAAAAAAACAAACAAAAAACCCCTTTGTTTTTCTTGGCAATAAGAGGTTGCAGACTCATCTAAAGACAAGCAGAAAGTCAAGTAAAGTGGATTAGACATCGGGATCCCAGGAAAGGTGAGCCCCTTAACAATCCCACGAATGTCAGCAAGTCTCCTGGACGTTTTCCCCTCTAACTTTACCATTCCCCCACAACCCCGCGGGGTGCACATACCCCATGGACACAAAGACAGGTTTATATGAGACAGTGTTCCCACCTTCTTCATCCTCAACACAACTGCACTTCCCTGAACTTCTTCCCAAAGCTTGGTTTCAGCCCCAGAGGTGGGTAGTTAAGGCCAAGGGGCCACCTTCCTCTCACTGGAGGACTGGCCCACCTTTGGGCCTCTGAAAGTTCTGGGCTCAGAGAGGTCAAGCGATTTCCATAAGGCCAACATAGCTCAGACACCGTCCACGCTCTCTGGCCTGAAGTGAATGGTAGGGGGAGGTTCCGAATCCTCCCCAGGCCTGACTTGGTGGATAGAGACTCGGGTGAGAGAGGGCCGGCGCCTCCTGGAGGTGATGGTAGCCAGACCTAGTCCTTAGCGAGGGGAGACAGGGCCACATATCTGCCTCCGCCCCCTGCTCTGCCACACCTGTGCCCGGCTTTCGACCAGTTCCTGCTCCCCTACCATCAGTCACGGCAGCTTCACCTGTCCCCGGTTCCCCACCTGTTCCTGGCGCAGGCCGCCTGATCCACCCATCCCCGGGCACCACCCTGCCCTTCTCCACGGAGCCCGCCTCACCACGGCGCTGGCAGGCGTGCAGAGCGGGCCGCCCATTGCTGTATGGCATCCAGATCTTCTTCAAGGGGTTCTGGGTCAATTCCCGTGGGGACGCCATACCCTGGACGTGATGAGTCGGACTGCGCGGCTTCCGACCCAGCAGCGGGGCCACCTCGGGCCACTCGAGGCCCCGCCCCTCGGCCCCGCCCCTCCTCGAGCAGCGGAGACGCCGCTCCAACTCCCGGCAGGCCCCGCCCCAGAACGAGTAGGCCCTACCCCAACAGAAGAGAGCCCGGCCTCCGACTACGCATGCCCAATCGCCTACCAGCCGGTTTTGTACCCTGCAGGCCCGCCCTTCACGCGGGGATCGAGGACGCGCATGCCCAGCTCCCCACAGGTTCAAGGCCGGGATGGTGCCGAACCTGCCGGGGATGCAGGAGCCCAGCACGCCCGCCCGGACCGCGCAGACTTGCATCGGCCTCATCCACAGCCTTGCCTTGCACAGCCTTGGCCCCAGGCACCCGGGTTCCGCTGACTGCTACCACTGATCTGGGGCGGGGGTGGGTGGGGGCGGCCAGGAGGGAGGGATCTGCATGCCAAGGAGCTGTCCCTGCTTGACCCGCAGCTCTCAGTTGGTCAGGACCAGTCTGGTGGCCCCTGCCTTATGCCAGTTTCAACCACCGCGCCCCTGAGCCGCCCCTGAGCCGGGCGTCCCGACCCCCTCTAGAGCCCCAGGACTCTTCCTCTCCCACTGGAGTGACTGGCTCAACCACGCCAGAAAATCTTTTACCTCATGGACAGGGACATCTCAAAATTGTTTCCTCTCTTTACCTTGGCCGCTGGGGAACTCAGGCTAAACTCCAGCCCACCCGGAGCACATGAGCAGGACCTTTTAACCAAGCTTTCTGGGGACTCCCTGAGCTCTGGCACTATCTTACTTCTTACAGGATTTCATTTTTACCAATTAAATTGTAAATTATAAATTTGCATATTTTAAAATTAGGAAAATAGAATGTGGATATCATTGACCTGACAATTCTGGTATAGATTAAAATGTGTCAGTGTCTGAGAAATCCATTCTGAAGCACATTAGCGATATCATTTATATTACTTATCTCTCTCCTGTCTCTAAGAATGCAGTGGAAGCAAAGGGCAAGGGAGAGATCCAGAAGTTCAGGAACCCTGGGTCATTCTCCTTTGTCTCCTCAGCCCAGCTTCTCCCAAGTTCTGTACACTTTCTGTCTGGGGGCCTCACTGACCCTGCTCAAACCTGCCCTCTAGCGATGTCCTCCACAAAAGCCCCAGACAGGATCATGGCACCCTCAGGTTCTCTCTGCCCAAAGTGTGTCCAGCCAGGAGCCAGGGCTAGGGGCACGGAGAAGAAGGCTCCAACCAGCGCACCCCAGGTGTGGCACCCCCTCCTTCTGACCTCCCTGCCACACACTTGTCTCCACCCAGCACTTCAGAGCCTGGCAAGGACCCTTCAGATAATTCTAATACAGATGTCTTGCCCTCTTCACAGGAGATGAAGTTTCAGGAGGCAGAAGCCCACCTAGACCCTCCCTGAAACCAGCTCTAGCCCCCTACCCCGGGAGGAATGCCCTGCCCCAGCCAGAGCTGAGCACTTCCTCCTTCATCCTTCCTCTGCTGTGTTCAACGCACCGCAGACCACCCCCCACCCACGAAGAGACAGCTCCGAGCACACCCGTGGGCAGGTCCTGATGAGCAGGACTTGAGACAACCTGCCCACTTTCCTACTTCTCCAAAGCCACTCAGGCTTTGACACAGGCAGCCTTGCTGTCTGTCTCCTAGCTATTGCCAAGGCCATCTTCGGGCCACCTTGACCTCACAGACCTTGTCGCCACCCACCCACGCCCTGTCCAACCCCCGGCACTTATTGCAAAAGCTACATGCTCTACCATCCACAGACAACCAGCACTTCCTCCGGCCCGCCCATTCTCCTCCTCAGCCCTCCTGGGATGTTAGTCAAAGGCTGGAGGTAGGGGATAGCCAGAGCAGGGCAGGATGCCAGGGTCATTTCGAGGAAACTGTCCCCACACCCAGACAGTCTGAGCTGAGCCTCCCAGGAAGAGGGTGGCTCTGTACCTCCACTCTTCCCCAAACAGTCTGACCCTGGGCTGACCCAAACACACCTTCCCAAGTCCCCATATCCAGTGGAAGGCCACAGGTTACCAGCAGGAGAAGCGTGGGGCTCCTCCCCAAGGCCAGAGTCTACCTCTGCTCTAAGAATATTCTTCATCTCCCTGCCCATTTCTCGAGTAGGAAACTGAGGGAGGGGAGAAGGACCCAGGGTTACAGAGCCAGCCCACAGTGCAGGATGGACTCAGATGAACTCCCAGCCCTTCAAAACCTCATCTCCCATATCTTCCATGTCACCACATTTCCCCACCCCTACGCCTGGGCTCTGGTTTATTCCCTCCAGGGCTCTCTTGGCTTTCTGCTTCCCCAGCATCCGTAGATGCCCAATAGAACAGCCAGCCTTTATGGCTTTCCCCTCCTTGGGGCATCCCAAAGTGATGTGGTGGAAAGCGTACTAGGGTGTCAGCAGGCACTGGTGTGTGACGATGGGCTCAGCCTCCCTGCTCCTCCATGAAGTTGTCTGGCCTGCCCGTGGTTAGCTCCAGTGGTGCCCTCTGCAATGACCTCTGGACCTCTCTCCAGTGTCCCTGGCTACAAGCTCTAGGGTGGCTGAAGTCCTAGATCCTCAGTTCTCACTGCTCAAACTCTTCCCCATCCCTATATCTTCTGGTCAGTCCTGGCCAGACTTTGCAGCATAAAGGCCCAGGGGCCTCAGTGAATGCCACACAGACCCACGTGCCCATGCATGGAAGCATGCACACAGAGCCCAACGTGCACGCACACTAACAACCCGTGCACTGACAACCCAGGCCTGCACAGAGACAGGCAGGCTGCAGGGGCCTGCTGCTCTCTACTGCCTCCCTTCCCTTTGATTTCCCTCCTCCTCTCCCCTCTGCTGCCACTGGGAGGTTCAGGGAATTCCCAGGAGCTCCAGCTTCCTCTGGCCACTTCAAGCCAAGGATCATCCCTGGTATCTCCCTGGGCCCAGAGCTCATGGGGGTTGGGGGTGAGGTTCCAATTTGGCAGTATGGAGCCATGCGACTGAGCAGCCTGTGAACCGTGGCCCGCTTGGTCTGACTTGCTGATTCCAGCTTGGCACAGAGCACACAGTAGGTGCCCGGAGTGACTCAGGGCCAGCCGAGGCACACAGTAAGGGCTCAGAGAGGTTCATGACCAGGGCCGAGCACAGAGTGGGTGCTTAGAGCAGTCAGGATCCACACAAGGCACACAGTAGGTGCCCTAGAAATTCTGGTTCAAGGGCTAAAGCCACTTCATATGAAAAATTTCCCAAATGAGCCTCTGGGTCTCCCCAGGATGATGGGTGACCCCTCGGGGGGACATGGACAAACATGACCCCTTGGAGGCCAGCAAAGGGCAGAGCAGGAGGGCCGCAGGCAGCTCCAGCTGGCTGTCCCTCTCTCTGGGCTGGAGGGGGAAGCTATTTATAGTTCCCCCTTGACCCAGCTCCCCCCCCCCACTCCCCTGAAAGGCGACGGTGTTCCCCCTCCTCCTTGCCACTGACAGGCTGATGCCCCCTCAAAGCACCCCTACACCTAGAGAGACCCCCCAACACCCTCGCACCTCTTCCAGCACCACCCCACTGCGCCCTGGTCTTTCCCCCAATCCCCTCCACCCGCTCCCCGCCGCCCATGCCTACCCTGCCTGCTGCTCCCTGACCCGGGGTCCGTCAGGGCGCTGCCTCCCTCCTCGTGTCTGTCCATCCTGCAAGCGAACTGGCCCTGGGCCGCCGCCCCCTGCAGCCTGGAGCCGGGCAGCCCCGCCCTCCGGGCGCGGAGGGAGCCGCGGTGTGCCCCGTGTGGCCCCGCCTTCCCAGCCCCGCCCCCGGCCCGCCCCCCAGGGCCTCACAACTTGAGAGATCAACAGTGCCCCCAGCCCAGGCAGCCGTGCTCCCGCACTGTGTGGCCTCCCTCTACAGCCGGAGCAGTCCTTACTGCCCAGCGTCTGCCCTTGTCTCCAGCCAGAGCTGTCCACACTACCTACAGTTTCTGCCCCATCTGCAGGCAAGCCTGTCCACACCGTTCAGAAGGTCTGTCCCATCTCCAGTCCCACAATGGAGCTGGTGGTGTGAGATTAGAGAAAACCTATTCTTTCCACACCTAGGGGACCAGGTCGGTGAAATGGGGCGGGGGTGGGGAGAGTAGGCAGAGGGGCAGCGTAGCCAGCAGTGACTCAGCCCTTGACTGTCCCTGCCTGGGTGCACACGACCGTGATCCTCATTCATCCCATTCTCCAGGCATGACGTTTATTGAGCTCTTTCCTGCATGCCAGAACCTTCACGTATACCGTCACCAGGTGCTCACGAGAAGCCGCTGGCATCACTCTGCTCTCCAGAGGAGGAAGCTGAGGCTTGGAAAGACGAGCACCTTTGCTCCGTCCGGACAGTTGGATGAGGGAGGTGCAGAGCTGGCCGTCCCAGTGCAGGCTGGAGTCCCAGCAGCCTGAGCCACGTGTGTCCAAGGGCCACGGCTGGGTGTGCAGGCATGTGGGTGGGATAGTGCCTGGCTGTGCGTTGAGCGTGCTTCAGGACAAGCCCCTGTTCCTCACAGCCCCCTCACATGCCCTCACCTTGCCCACACACAGTCACAGTTGTCAGATCCGCAGAGAAGCAGTCATCCATGCACGCATACACCTGCCACAGGGCAAGGCTGCCCCCGCTACAGTCTTCCTGCATTTGGCCACCTGTGCCTGGAGATGCCCCTGACGGCCCCTTCATCTGAGATGGGTGCTGCCTCCGGGAGCAGGAGACATGTGTGTGACCCTCCACTGGCACCTCCCTGTGTGGTGACCTGTGGGGGGCGGGGCAGACCCGCAGTTCTGGTCTCAGGCAGACTGAGATAGGTCTCAGATAACATGTCGGGCCTCTGTGTTGAGGTTCCTAAAAGTGGCACAAGAGTAAGCACACTGAGTGTCCGGATGCTCTTTGACCGTGGGGCACCCAGACATGGCGAGACTCCTCCCAGCACTGACATTCCGCTGTAGTGTCCACACTGTCCAGACATATTGGAAGTCTGCGGGGCTCCAGGCGTGGCAAGACTCCATTTGGCCGCCCCCCAAACTGGCAACCTTCGGGGCTGTCCAGACACACCGTGGCTCTGAGAGACACTCAGCTGTGATATGACACCGCCTGGCAGGGACCCCACAGGGCGGTGGCCGGGTGCCCCATGCCCCAATGTAGTGCCGTCCTGCTCTGCCACCACCTTCCAGGTCTCCTGATCCAGGGTGGCCCCATCATTGTGACCCCCACTCTCCAGCTCAGCGGCGGCCAACCTGGGCCAGGATGCAAGCATTGGTGGCAGCCCGCTCCCTCAAAGCTCTGGCCCGAGCCTGCTCCAGTAAGATCTGCAGGAGGCCAATGGGGACATCCAGTGAGAGGGTGATGCGGGGACCCGGGCGGGGGCCGGGGCTGGGGTGGCCCCAAGCCCTGGAGGGGCCCGCGGTGCTGGCTGAGGTGCTCTCCGAAGTCACGGGGTGGGGAGTGGCCTGGGAAGTGTTCTGGAAGGCTGGCAGAGGGTCGCAGGGACAAGCAGGGCCCTGCCCCACGTCAGGACCATCAGCACCAGCAGAGCCCACCTGGTCATCGTGTGGTCAGGCTGCGAGGAGAAAAGAGGCTCAGGGCAGGAGCTCTGGGCAGCCGTGGCACATGGATGGAGACAGATGGGGAAAGAAGACAGACAGGGAGACCGAGGGAAAGAGACAGAGATTAGAGAGGCCAGGCAAGGAAGGGAGAGAGATGGAAGAGACAGAGATGAAAGGACTAGACAGCCAGAATGAGACAGAAAATCAAGACAGAGCTAGGCAGAGCAGGGGCCGAGGAGACAAAGAGAGCACAGCTAGATCTAGATGTAGAGATAGAGATACTCTTGGGGAGGGGAACCGGAAGAGGGAGAAAGGAGAGGGAGGAAACAAACCAAAATAGAGGGAGACTGGAAGAAAAAGAGGCTGGAACCACCCCAGACACTGACAACATGATAAAAATAGGGATGCAGGGGCCCCTGGGTGGCTCAGTCAGTTAAGACCTTTGGCTCAGGTCATGATCCAGGAGTCCTGGGATCCAGTCCCACGTTGAGCTCCCTGCTCAGCAGGGAGTCTGCTTCTCCCTGACTGCTCCTCCCCCTGCTCGTGCACACATATTCTCTCTCAAATAAACAAATAAAATCTTTTAAAAAAACAGGGATGCAGAGACACAGAGAGAACACAGAAGGGCAAAAGGGGAGCCTGAGTTCTGAGGGAGCTTGCCACAGATCCAGGACAAGGAAGAGCAGGAAGGGGGTCTTCAAGCCAGAGAATCCAAGGCCCCCTCAGGTCCAGAGACCTCCACCAGCCCAAATCCCAGATCCACTCAGCCCCCAAGGCCCTGCCCATCCCACCCAGAGCCACCCCAGTCCTACCAGCAGCAGCCTCCTCCAGGACAAGGTGGGGCCAACGGGGCTGCCCGGGGCTGGGGCCAGGCTGTGCGGTGCTGTGGTCCAGCCCTCTGCCCCCATCACAGCCCATTTATCTCTCTCAGCCCCCTGAGGTAGGAGCTGGGGCATGGCCCCTGGCAAGAAGCAGCCCCCCACCTCTGACTCATCCCTTCCTGGGGGGCCGTGAGGACTTGTCCTCAATCCCCACTTGGTCTACGCCTTTCTGGGGACAAGTTGGGGACTGAGGTCATAGGACAGAGGCCAGGGCCAGACAGAGCGACTGTGCACCCATGCAGGATAGTACTGACCTCCCAGGGCAAACCTGACCCCTGCCACCCCCATCTCCCCAAAGAGTCACAACGGGGGCCTTTTAAAACAGCAGCTTTAATGCCCCCCCCAAAAATCAGCACCATGTCATCACAGGCCTGGGTCAAGGGGCAGGTCAGATGCAGTCACATCCGCTCCCTGCCCACAGCCACCCCCACACTGAGTCATCTGCTGGGGAGGCAGGAGCCACAATGGGGGTTTGTCCACAGGGGGGAAGGCTAGACCCACGGACCAAGTCACTGAAATAACGGACACACTCATGCACGCTCACGTGCACACAGGCCTCTAGCACCAAGGGGAGGGACAGCAGGACTCCTCCAGGGGACGCTGAGTCTCAGCTGGTCATCTAGGCCTCAGCTCCGGGCAGCACCTGGTGGGGGGTGCAGTGTGGCAAGTGGGGAGCTGTCTTCTGCCATCTGGCCTCACCCAGCACGTAGGTCCCAAAGAGGCACTGGGCAAAGGATCGGTGGGGCAGCTAGGGGCACGACAGGAGTGGGGTCTGACCTCACAGAGGGGATCCTCACTCAGGTCCCCTGGAGGAGGGAGCATGGAGAGGGCCCCACAGCGAGGGTTCTCTGTTCAGCTCCTTGGTCTGGGGGTCTGTCCCAGGCCCCCTGTCTGAGGGGGCTCCTGACCCAAGACCCTGACCAGGACCTGATCTGGATGGGCTCAGTGTCCAGGATGGAGGGCTAGGCCCATACCTGTTCCCTGGTTCTGGACCATGCGGGGCGGGCAGCGGCGCTCACAGGCCTCACGGGTCCCGAAACGGTTGGCATTCCCTCCACAGCCGCCATAGACAAAGGGGTGACAAGCCTCTGTGCCACCTGCCGCCGCCCGATGGTACCAGCGCAGGGTGTAGGCTGTACAGGAGCCCTCGTCCAGAGGAAGCAGGCAGGGGTCTAGGGCCAGTGGGGGTCAGGAGGTCAGCAGGGCCGGAGGCCGTCAGAGAGAGACTGGGGTCTGTCTCCTGTCCCCGAACCCTTCCGGGCCCGCCCCCGCTCTCACCGGTGCCGGCCGGAGCAGCTTCTGGGTCCTGGTACTCCTCCACGGAGTACTCAGAGTATTCGTACTCGTCGTCCTCAGGGGGAACCTGACCTGCACAGAGGGTGAGGGGTCCTGGGAGCGAGGCCGCCGCAGGGCCACGTTCAGGCTGCCCAACCCTGGCCCTGGGGGCAGGGCGGCCAGCCCTGGTCTCCCACACATATGCCGTGTCTGCGCTCTGCCCTCCGTGCTGCCCCATGCATGTGTCCAGCTGTCCTCACCTTCCTCCTCCACGTGAGAAACCCGGAGCACGGGCACGGCGTGGAGCTGGGGGCCCGCAGTGTCTGCAGCATAGCTAGGGAGGGGTCCTGGAGCAGGGGGCACAGGGCCTTGGGGTCATAATGATGGCCACCCAGCTAAGCCCCTGCTGAGTGGACCCAGGTGATGGGCACAGGAGGGTCTGGGATGAGCAAAGTTCCAGGAGCAGAAGATACCAGAAAATGACTCACGTGATCCAGATGCGATGAACTGGCCCTGGCAGGCTGGAGAGGGCAGAGAAGGGCAGGGACAGAGATAAGGACAGAGAGCAGGAGACAAAGATAGAACAGCAACAGGGGGAGAGACAGAGGGACACACCCAGCGAGGCAGAGGTGGACAGAGAAGGACCGCAGGAGAGAGGGACAGAGAGACCGATGGAGGGAGAGAAAGAATGGGTGGGAAACAGAGAGAGAGGAAGGAGGACAGAGAGAGAGAGAGTCAGAAACCGCGGGGCGTGGAGGAGGTATGGGAGCAGTCAGACAGACGGACGGGAGCAGACAGAGCTTCACTCTCTGACGCCCAGCGGGCTGCTCCCACCTCCACCCTCTATGCACCGCCACACCGGGCTGCTAGGGACCCTATGGGAAAGTCCTGTCGGCATATCTGTCCGGAAGCACAGGCGTCCTTCCGCCTTTCTATCCATTTCTGTCCATCTCCTTGACTGCGCCAGCCCCCTAAGTTCTGGGGACCCTGCCTGCCCCAGTCTAGGGGAGCTGGGATGGAGTAGGAATGGGACCCAGGAGGCTCTGGGCTGGGCCGCACTCACCGCAATGCTGACTCATCTCCTGACGCACCAAGCCTCGGATGTCACCCTCCTGGGAGCACAAGACCACAGGGGATCATGAGGCACCCATGGATCACGGGAGAGACAGGAGGCCCATGATCCAGGGAGCATGGAGAGACAGCCCTGAGTCAGAGGCCCAGGCCCAGGAGGTCCTGGGTGCAGGAGGTGGGGCCCAGCCCACCCAGGCCTACACTTACCGTCAACGCGGCTTCTCCCTTCTCCCCGCGGGGGCCGGGGGACCCTGGCCGCCCCTATGCACAATGGATGGGACCTGGCTGTGACCTCCGATCTTAAGGACACCAGAGGTCACTCTGGTCTCCGGCCCTATGCCCAGGAATCCCCACTCACCTGCTCTCCTCTCTCTCCAGGGGTCCCAGGGGCTCCAGGGGCACCCACCACTCTCTCTCCAGGGGGGCCTCGCTCACCCTATCAGACGCAAGGACCAAGAGACCAGTCAGAGACAGCAGAAGTCAGAAGTTGGGGAGGTTCAGGGGTCAGGAGTCAGACTCAGAGCTCTTTACCTTCTGGCCCTGAAGTCCTTCAGGGCCTTTGGGACCAACACTGCCGGGTGGCCCAGGAGGACCACTAGAGCCATCACTGCCCCGAGGACCTGGGAAGCCCCCAGTTCCTGGGGGCCCCTGTGGAGAGACAGGTCAGAGTCAGTGATCAAAGCCCCCAAAGATGGAAGCACTTCCAGAAAGTACAGTCTCCTTGGCTTACCATGACCTTGGTCTTAACTTACCCGCTCCCCTTTCTCGCCCTGGTCACCCTTGGGTCCCAGCTGCCCATCAAAGCCTCGATCACCCTGGGGATGGAAAGAAGCATGAGAGACCATCTGCCTTGACCTCCTCAGCTCAACAACCGCAAGCCCCTTGACCCAATGGCCACAATCTTCCATGCCCCAAGCACCTGTGACCCTACCCTCCCAGGACCCTCAGTCTGCCGCGCTCCCCGTGACCCCGACTTTACTATCATACCCCTTGTCCTAATTTCACCTATTTTCTTTATATGGACACTCCAGCCTCCCGTACTGCCCCCTAGCCCTGATACACATCTCCTCACCATCACCTCTCCCTTAATCCTAAATCCCCACTGTGACCCCGACCTAAACCTCAAGACCAACCTCACTCTACCCCCGCAATGTCCCAACTCTCCACAACCCTTTTGACATGAAACCTCCATCACCCTACTATGATCTTCCCTGCCCCATTCTGACCCCCTTACAACCACTGTTGAGAGACCCCATACCTTGGGACCGATCAGGCCCTCCTTCCCAGGGGCCCCCGACTGGCCCGGTACCCCTGGCTCCCCCTAGAAAAGAGAAAACATGAGCTGGGTCCTGGCCCACCCATCCTCTTCCCATCCCAGGTGCCCCACACTCACCGTATCTCCTTTGCGTCCTGCCAGCCCAGGGCGGCCTGGGGCACCAGGTTCTCCCTGTAGGCATCAGGTGGAGGGGTCAGACGTAGGCCCAGGCCCCGCAGCCACCCACATCCCCATCACCTCCATACCTTATCTCCCTTTTCTCCATCAAGGCCACAGGCTCCCTTTACCCCTCGTTCACCCTGTGGGGAAGAAGCAAATGGAAAAGTCACTTCCAGATAGATCACCTTATAACCAAGCCCCTGATCACATAACCACTTTCCAAATTGGCCTCAGACACTCTAACCGCTGACTTTCCAACCCCTAACCTAGTACCCCACATCTGACCCCAGATATCTGACTTCTGACCCCAGATACCTTGCCCTCCAACATCAACCCCCCC